ATATGTTCATGTAGTACTTTTTGATGTATATGCATTACGAGGATTTTTAATGTATATATCTGATATGAATCGTTAACCAATCACGCTTAACTAGAGTTCGCTGACTAAAATTGATTAGTAAACTATTTCACATGAGCGGTAGCTTCATATTTTTCGACGCCTGATGAATTATTCGCGAGAATACATCGCATGATGAATCATGCTACATTTTTTATTTCTCCACAGTGTAGGCCGGATACACGAAACAAATAAATGAGTGTTAATTGGACTGTATCAATAAAAATGATTGATGGCACTGTCTAAATTTCTGCGTAAATCAAAAGGTATATAAATTAATAGCTCGAAGAAAAGATCTTCTCAAGAAGAAAAATAAAATAAAAATATCTTTTAACTATTATTATTTTACAAAAATTAATAATTTATTAAAAGTTCTTATTGGAATATGTGACTGCATATTACATATTTATTATTATATTAAATTATTTCTTATTTATAGAATTACAAGTTTGTATAATTTATTACTGTATAGTTATAATTATTACTTATTTTAATCAAAAATAATCTTATCAAAATAGTCAATAATCTTATTTTTTTCGATTTTAACCTAGATGGCTTAGCTCCAAAACTGTTATTTTGAGTTATTATAAGTAAGCACTCTACATCAATTCATTGTCTTTCATATAACATAAATTTAAAGTTTATTTTTATTAATATTTATTATCTATTTTTATTAATATTAATATTAAAAGTGGTTAAAAATTTTATTATAAAAATAAATGATTTGAAATACATATGAAATTGTTTTATGATTCTAATGTGTGAATATATCCTATCATAATTAAAAACTTTTGTTTACTATGCAATGCAAGTTTTTCATTATAGATGTAAGTCACAAGTTTGTTTCTTGTACTTCCAAGTTGTCGATTGCTTTTTGAAGATAAATATGAAGGTGTTGTTTACATTTAGAAATCGTTCCCTTTAATAGTCAACAAAACGTATTTAAAGTTTATTAAACGACATTTGATCAAAGACTATTTGCATAAATATTAATTGCAACATCACACGCTTTTCTTCTGATTGAAGTATCCAATAATTTCTTTTTACATTTTATTATGAAGCATTCGGCAGCAGAGTAGGACATGTCGCGATTTGCTCGTCCCATTTTTATTATTTTCTGTTTCGTGCACCACATATTTCCTAGCTGACTATTGCGTGTGCAAATTATTTCACCGCAAATCTGACGAAGAGAAACCAGCGAAATCTACGTGGTTGGAAAAAATGTGGGTATATCGCTGATTCCCATCCGAGCGAATGAATGCGCGTCTCGCGGGCGATAAGCGCGGGAAACAGGATTGACGTAAAAGTTTTGCGATATTTTTCTCCGTGTAAATCGCGGGGTAAATGAGGTATAAGGAGTAGGCGGAAACAAAACGGTCGCGTTGTAAGATGAAAGAAAGGGAAGCTGCTGGGATTGCATAAATTTGTAGACTGATAAAGCTTGAAGTATCTCGTCTTGTTATATTCGTCCTCGTCCAAATTTATCCCCACACATTCTAGGAGAACAAGCATTCAAGGCAAGATAGAAATCCAGAAATGAGAATGATAAAATCACAATCGATTTCTTCATTCTAAAGAGCGATGTAATTTAGAATTTCGTTAAAAAAAAATATTTTGTGATAATACAACGTGTTTGAAATCTAATTTGTAAGTCTAATGATAACTCGCTCAATAAATGTATATATTCATCGTATTAAATCAGATTTATTAAAATTTATTCATTGCGTATTTACTTTTTCTTTATTTTAATTTGTTTTCTTTATTTTTATACGCAAAATTATTTATCAAAATTAGACTTTTTATTTAATATATCCATTTTATTAATGTTTAATAAAAATAGTATCTATAAAGATTATTTTGTTAGACAGTTTACAGATTATATTAATTTAAATTATATTAGTACATTCATAAAGTGGAGTAATTATTTAAATAGTGTATGGTGAAAGTTATTTTCATGTGCTTCCTACTACCGAATCGTAGTAATTTTACTCAAGAGAGTGATTAAGCACGCTTTCTACATCTTGATTTGAAATTAGTGAACGAGCAAGTATGATCTGTGCGATTTCCATGTCAGGTACAAATGGCTGACAGTGTCGTCTTCTGAAAAATGTGCTTTGCGCACGCAATCCTTTAATTATTTTAACCATCTGGGATCTAGAGAGATACAGATTGCATTAAGGTTATATCTATATATAAATTTGGGATATATTATGTTTGCGAATAAGAGCTTTTGTCCACAAATTGTGATATGTTATTATTTTAACATAACATCTTCCTTTTTTTCACTTTGTAATATTGTAACAATTATAACTTTACAGTTTAAGTTTAAATAATAAATTGTGTTACTATTACTATTGCGTGATGCTAATTAAAAAGTTATGATGCATTTATTTTCCCCCAAAGCAGAAGAGAAATCTGATATTCTTGAATAATGTAATAACAGTCGATGCTAATTGGGGTCTCGTTAAGGGACAAAGAAAAATCCTTTTCTTTTATACAGTTGCATTGAATTCGTTCTAATCAATTCCGTTTATGAATTATACTTTCTCTATTTTCAGCATTGTTAATGGTTCATTGTAATGTAAATTAGTAAGTAAAAATGCCAAGTAAACATTTCATTATTTTATATTGTACAGAATCTAATTTTCTTTTACAATTTTTTCCTAAATAGAATAAAGACTTTTTATTGCAAGACAGTAAAGTGCATTTTATTAAAAGATAGTGAGTATTTTTAAAACGTTTCAGTTTATCGTCATTGAATCGTTGAGAGATAATGGTATCGTCATGCAGTCGTGTTATAGTACATTGGAAATGAAGAAAATAATGTGCTGAAAGAAGCGTTGTCAATCTGATAAATATCGCGTGTCACTACTGCACTCATAAATATATATTAAGTTGCACTGTAATGTATACTTCTTTGAATTGCGTTAGTATATGGAAAATATGTTATCGATCGTATTTATAAATAAATGCATTATATTTTGTTGGAATAGAAAATCGGGAGATAATGAACCATATAGCAGCAATGCGGTATATTATTTCACCTTTAATTAAATAACGGGATAGTGAAGAAGGGAATTACCATGTATGAAATGTATAATTGCAATGGCAGTGCTCTTTGACGAAAACCATGCACGGTCAATTTCACCAACATATTACGGTGCGAGCGTATTAAATATTATACGCCTACGTGTGTTTGATCTTTCAATTAAAATTAATTTGATCATCATATGCAATAGTCTACCATGTAAATGATAGATATTTATAGAGTATATGACGTATGTATTGTATATATTATTATTGTACATTATATTTAATTTAATATTTAGCTAATTGAACATCGCGTTCTATTGGAAAAATTTTTTTATTATGAACGTAGCTTCAGCGCAGTAATATAAATTATATTCTTTCTCGTAAACATCTCGTTTCAATATGTATTGATATGTATTATATAATAGCACGATTTTTATGGGCTTTGAAATACAATAAAAGATGTAAAACAAATAAAATCATAATATTTTGTTATTATTATTATCGTCGAAATCCTAATCAATTTGTCGCAAAAATAAAATTAAATATCTCTAAACGCATATAAAATTTTATTATATCAGCATAGTTATTGTTTTGTCATCATTTATATTAAAAATATTATTTTAAAATATGCTATACACATATGCAAGTATTAAAAACATTTAAAATGGATTCGTAAGAAAACGTGTTTGAAGTAGTGAAAATCGCATTTTTGGTCAGACGAGATTTCAAGTAGAACAAACAATTCCCTGGCGGTGTGGCGGTTCGTTTGTCGAAAGAGAACAAACAATTCCCTGGCGGTGTGGCGGTTCGTTTGTCGAGGTCAAATGTTTTTAACTCTAGATTTATGTGTAAAAAAAAAACGCTTCATAAATTCGCTAAAAGGAGGAAAAAAAGAATACAAATATAAAAAGATTATTGCAATAATAGTCGCTGCTTAAGAAATGTATTACAACATTGTAATATCATTAACGTTATTTTAGTGCGATGCATGATAATATTGGCGTACTATTGACGTCGGAATGCTATTGATCGAGTACAAGGCATGACTGGTAGAAATTAAATTTCTTATGTGGAATCTTAATATGCATATATGTATCACAGAAAGCAGTAATTTAGAATGAGATTTTACATAGCGATGATCGGGTCAACCTGCATAACGACGTCTGCGCGTGCACAATAATATGAGTTCGCAATTGAAGAAAATCATACGCTTCGCGTTATAATTTATTATACAGATAAACAACTAATAATTAATTTTCTCAAGAACCGTTGCAGCGCAATTATATGAAAATAAAATATACGCGCGCAAATTATGTCAGCTTTTCTTTCTTTCTCTCTTTTTCTTCCTCTTCAGTTATACGCAAGCAATTAAACGACAAATATTGTTCCCTATTCATAGCATTTATACAACTGGCATTGTACATATACGTATTCTGTAATGGCCACATTTTCTAGAACATAATCATAAATATAAAACATGGAGTTCGCCGTGCTACACGCAAAGGGAGGTTTTTTGCGTTTTATTTGCTTGACCTTGACTATACTATCACAGTTATTTGCAAAAAGATATTTATTATCGACAGTAATACTTCGATAAATCTTAAGTCGTGCTTAAACATGCGATATAATATTGCTTGCAATGATAACGATTTTAATCGTTTTACATGCTATAATATAAAAGGTTTGTTTCTTACTTTTCGTATACCTAGCCATAAAGTCTACTTTACTTAATCTACTTTAAGAAAAAGATTTATAAGACATGAATAAATAAAAAGAGAATTTATTTCCAGATTTAATAATAAATTTCATAAATTTTAGTATTAAAACTTAAAAACATGTAAGCTTAAAAGAAAATGTTTTCACGAATATCCGAATACTTAATGTATCTTTACTTTATTACGATCTTTCAGGATGTCCGAAAGATGACTAGGTACTGAGGAGGAGAAGGCGCAGTAGCTTTGAAGGTTGCTGCCGCCTCGGTTTGGTGGAATGGAGATGAACGGCACCGAAAGCAGCCTGAATGGCACCGAGGTCAATCGCACTTCCGCACCGATCTTCACCATCGGCACAGATTTCATCACGCAATGGTAAGAGCGCGGATCTTTTATTCAGAACGGACAGATTGGTACATAACCGCGGAAACGACCATGTGCGAAACTATAAATGGAATATGACTTTCCACATGCGAGGTAGTCCTTTGGGTTTTTACAAATTTTAGCATATAGACAACAGGCTGCATAGTTACAATTTCTATTTCATACAGCCATCACATCACTGATGCGCAGACGTTAGATTAGATCTGCGTGTATTAATATAATTGTAATGTAGCAAAATACAGATTGCTTGAATTAAAAATTTCCATAAAATATTGAATTTTAACTACGACACAGCACAATCACGTTTGCGTTAATTTTTCAGGAAATCCGTAAATTGCGCTAATGGCAACGTCATCGAAACTGTATTTGGGGAAGAAATAATAATAAAAGCTAAGCTAAGAAAGATATGTTTAATATTTATATCTAATAGTATTAATATATATCTATTAGTAATAAAGCTCATAAAATTTAAAAAATGAAAAAACAAAAGGGCTACAAGCCAAATTTTAATATTTTAAATATTAAATTTATTTTTTGTTTTTCTATTATACAAAATTTTTATTTAATATTATTATAAAAGTAGGATACGAAAACTGGTTTTTATACTTCCTGCATGCTTTTTCGTGGCTACAACGGATTGCTCTCAAATCCTTTTTGCTGACGTGTACTTGCACTGTGTAAACCATTCGCTCCATCGATCCTTAACATCCCCAAAGGATTTTGTGCTACGGGAAATACAGGATAGACAGATCGATGGCACAAAGACAATGTTAATAAGATAACATCAACTGACGTTATTAATTGGTTCCGATTTATTGTACATTCTCTGTATTGTATATATGTATTAAGAGAATAATGTAAGTTTATTTATTTATATATATAGTATATATATATATATATATATATATATATATAAAAATCACGAAGTGACCTTAATCTCATTCTATAAAAATCAAGATAACGTATGTATTGAAATTACTTATTGACTTACGTATATTAGCAAATACATTATTCTCATATAAATAACATTAATCATTTAATTCTTCAAAAATATAACAATTATAATAGCGTCAACTTTGCAACGGATATATTACATACTTAATAAATTTTCGTTATAATTTTTTAGTGAAGATGCGTGTCTTTTATTCCTCACATGTAGCGCAATCATACGTCAGTCGCCGTAATCAAACCTTATGAGATAACGATAGTTCGTTTAACGTAAATGCACGGCCGTCTGATTAGATTTAGATGAGACTATCCTCGCGAAAAAGCATGGGAATGAGAGGTTTGTTACTGTAAACGCATTTAAACGCGTTTAGATGAGCAATTCATCATTTGGCGGAATGGCCCTCTTGAATTCCAAGTGACTTTGCCGTTACCTCTGAGACTGCTCATTATCGAGGGGTAATAACATCACGCGGCGCTTCTTATACAGTCAACGGTCACCGTTTGTGTTTCCTACTTCGTTGGGAATATCAAGGCTAAAGGAAATGAACTTTCATCAGGGACAAAATTGAAGTAAAAAAATTCCCTCGAGAAGTCACCCTCTTCTCAAGGCAAGATTTTTCTTCGAATTCTTTCCCATCTTAATCACGTCGAATAGCCAAATGATCATCACGAATTCTTAAAATCGTTAAAATTATTTTTTTTTATACAATTTGCATAATAATTTGCATAATAATTAAAATTTATTAAAATTCCTAAAATAATCAGTTTCTATAACTTTGTCTGTATATTTAACTTAAATTGAAGTTAGAAATTATTCTTGAGATATCGTGATGTAGAAATCCTTTAAGACAGGTCTGTCCAATTTGAGCTCCGGAGCTAAAACGCAAAGCCATCGACGCAAAAAAATTCAGTGCGAGTAAGATTTCGGGGATTGTAAAGTGTTGATATGTCCGAGTGATCCGATAGATCCGAGTGATGCTTATCAACATCTTGCAATCTCCGAAATCTTACCCACGTTGAAGTTTTTTTTGCGTCGATGACTTTTTTTTGGCTCCGGAGCTCAAATTGGGCAGGCCTGCTTTAAGATATATTAACAAAGAAGAGATATTTATTGTTCTATTTCATAATTATAAGTGCGACTTGCGTACCTACTTTTGAAAACTATCGCGAAAAGTATATTAAATATCTGTAATTTATTCTTTTTTTCAACTTTTTCTACAATCTGTGTTTTTGAAATTATTAAAAACGTTAATTATTAAAAATCATTTAATTTATAATGTTATATATTGTTAGTTTCCTTGAATGCATAAATACATTTGACGTGATGACATTTCAAGACAAGCAACGATTGGTACAACAGCCATTTGTACACATCGTAATCGACATTTTACGCAAAGTCGATTTACACGATCGAACTTTCATCACCGTATGCACCGCGTTTATACAATAGTTTGAAATAGTCTATATAGTTACCCCGTATGATAGCAGAGATATTTGCGGAGCTGACGGATAAAACTCGCGTAAACCAATCCGGGCCAAATTGCATCCTTGACCTAGCAGGGCCACGGTAATCTGGCAATGCGACGGGGTGAAGCACGCGGCTAAGTTAGTTGATGAGCTACTTGGCCGAATACGTCAGGCACGATTGTATGAACGTCGTTATTTAACGAAAGAAAAAGTCGATGTCGTGCAACGACGTGGAATCACGCAAGCGACGTCGAATGGCTTGTTGCCGCGCACGCGATTGAGGTGAAAATTTCGAATGTTGCGTGAGCCAACAACGTCGGCGACGGCAAAAGTCGTTCACTAGAGCAGATTCAATGTATGTCACAGCATACGCGAAATCTTTGTGTCAATTGAGAGGGAATATTTTATTTAAAACAAAGGGAAATGCGATAGATGGAGTTCTAATTTGTAGAGTGAAATTTTAATTAATGTGTAATTAATGTAAAATTTTAATTTCACGCAGTATTGATAATAAATTAGAAAAGAATTGATAAAATTTTGTTTAAAAGATAGACAATATTTATTATTTTTAAATCAGTGTATTTATAATTATGTAACATCTAATACACTATACATATGTTAACATACGTATATCAATGTAAGTTTTGTTAATATAAGTTAACATATGTCAATGTAACATTTGCAATATTTAATGACCTGATCGTAGTAAGCGAATCGAAATCGAAGTTGCTTTTATATACATAAAACGGGTATATTATGAAGTTTGTGACATGTTGGGTTACACGGAAATATCGATTTCCATCGTAACTGATCGAAGTGACAGACTGATATTTTACACCCTTTGTAACGCGAAATGTAACGTAACAAAGAATAATGCTTCTGTTTACTATCTACATTTATTAATCCCCTTTATGATAAAATTCAACTGATTTCTATCTGAATGCTTATTGTTTTAAGACTAAAATAATCTATGTGTCTTACACTTTCAATTTTATTGATTTGACATTGAATATATTAAATAAACATTAATTTCTAATTAATAATTTAATCTATAATTTAATAATGTTTGAAATAAATAGCAATATAAAGGCATAGAAAAAATCTATGAATTGGTTAAAAATAGAGTCTAGCATTGTCATCTAAATTCTTGCTAGTCCTGTTCTAATTTAATTTATTATAAAATTAATATTTTACGTTGTATTAAAAATAGTATTTTACATAAACCATATAATCTAAACACAATGATTCTTTGCAACATAATGATTTCTTTATTTTAGCATTATTTTAACATTAATGGTAAAATAAACATGCATTGAATAATATATCTATAAGTAACTGGAATTGGCAAATATTATTGCAGAAAGATTTGACAAAATACAAGAAGAGAGAAGGAAAAAACGGCTTTGAGAGATACAGTAGGTAAAATATAGCGAGTCGATGGCATTCGGTATTCCTATCTTTTAGCGCGACGACGTTGCATGTTAAAATGGAACAGAGCCATTAAATGAATCGACTGTTGCATCCAACACGAGGCGGGTGCTATTGTTTCGTTTAACTGTGTGAATGACACTCTGTAAAAGCGCGACTGGTAATGTACCGTCTAACTAGATGATGCATGCGATTAACACTGCGCTATTATAATGCGGCGATCAATTGTCGTATTACTTTCTGTTCCCTAAGGAATTCTAGTTATCCTGGTTGAGAGAGAAGGGGGTCGTTTATTCTATTTTTATTTTGTTTTGATTCTCTATGCGAAATGTATAACATTATTAGAATTTTCGAAATAATACTTTTACTTTATATAAATATTGATTCTCTCTCTCTCTCTCTCTCTCTCTCTCTCTCTCTCTCTCTATTTCCTCAATTTATTATATGAAAAGAATTGTATCGTTTATAAATCGCTTATTGTTTCTAAATTAAGCTTATAGAAAAACAAATTTGAGTTAAATTCTGTAAATAATAAAAATAAAGGTTTAACTCTCTCAAATGATTTGACAGTATACACTATAAAATTATATCCAATGCTTTAAAGTTTAATTGTTTTATATGGTTCTCTCGCGCATTTCCAATTGCCCAAGTTGTTACGCAAACGTGCAACGAAATTATCTTCGTCGTTTCCCAGTTTTGTGTACCAGAACGGACGCACGATTACAGCATATGCAGAGAACAAATAAAATAGATCGAGCAACGGGAACTACACTGGAGCACATTGTGATGACACACATGGAATATTGATTCTCGAATTTTCATTGCTATGCTGGAGAGAACCGAGAGAAAAATGCATTCTTCGTATGCTGGAATGAAGCTTTCGTACGGCTTTCGTATCGCGTATTTTTGCTTTTTCTAGCGAGTAGATAGACAACATCTAAAATCGTGGGATTCAATTTATCTACATATTCTCGATTGTGCATACAAACCTTAGAAAATGTACAGGGAGTAGCCATCTTTGCGTGCAATGCGCAACGTATCAATGTGGAAATAAAGTTATTTGTTCTCAACTTTTTTATACACTAGATAAATATTTTCTACTCAAAAACTTTAATAAATGACGGTTTATAATCTAAAGTCCAGTTAGC